TTTTTAACTCTTAAACTCAAAATTTGGCCTCATTTATTCTTTACTGCCAATGGTCCATGTCAGACATATTAAGCATTATCACAGCATCTTACTGAATAAGCACAAGCAAGAAAATATATAGTAATAGATGTATTTTCAAAACATATTCTCCTCTGTCATGTATACTTTTGTATACTTCTGTACATCTGTGTATATATATGTGTATGAGAGAAATCAAAATTGAAAGATTTAGCCCAAAGCTGTTCACTGATTTGGGCTCTCCAGTAGAATATATCAAGGACATGATTTTTCAGAGTGCTGTGCCCAGTACTCTGTATGTTCAAGGTTCAACTTTCATTAAATTCAGCTCCACTGGTAGTGCTCAGCATTTAGTGCAATGACGCTCTCAAATGTAAACCCTTAGCAGAACATATGCAGGATAATCATATTGCTAATGACTGGCACCTAATTTAGAGGTCTAATTTGTGAGGTTAATCCCTCAAGACTCTGCTATCATCAACAGAGAGAGATATTCTTGCATCCCTGTTTCCTCCCATGTGTTGGCACTTACATTTTCAAGGCTGTTCAGTGAGTTTAATTCACAGTTGATTTAGATGCAAAATAATAGTTTTAAGTGGTTTTTTTTTTGCATGTTGTTTTCAGCTGGATCAGCTGATCTGTCTGATCATGTATGCACACAATCAGCAGTAGCAGTACGACATGAGCCCAAGGCATTACTCTGGAACTGGCCAGAGCCGACTGGGATGATCTCTTTAGCCAACACCTCATGGTACCAACAAAATTAAATTAGATGGCCGGCACAGAATAACATGCATACTGTGTTTAAAAAAAAAAAACAACACATGAAAAGTAAAGAAAATTCCATCAAATGACTTCTAAGCTTACATGAAAAGTCCATAGTCCACAGAGGCAAGGACAGAATCCATATTCATTGAGTAGCAGTCCAATTACCTTAAAGAAAACTTAAGCTTTCTTTCTACACTTCCTGCTTTATTCAAATGGTATGTATTCCAAATTCTGCAACAAATAAGGCATGAGTCTTTCAGAAAAAAATCTAATTCATCACATGACTACAGGATTTTTTTCCATATAGTGAATGAAGCTGAAATCCCTTGGGGAAAAAGCAGTATCCAATAGTTTATGCCGTTTTAACAAATATAGACAAAGAGGGGAAATTACTTTAAATAAATTAAATAATTATAACTTTAAATTACTGCATTTGAAAACAGAAAGGTATTTTCATGTAGGTTTCTCTGTCTGACTACAGAGGGCTTAAAAGAGCAAATCCAAGCTCCAGAAATCTCACCATGTGAAACTATAGGAAAGTTAAGTAGTAGGGTAAGAACACTTTGGGCATGTTGCCATCTCAGTTACAGAAATTGATTTTTAAATAACTCATCATTTTCAACAATCTTTTACATCTTGTTACGGAAAATACATAAACATGCAGCTAAGAACCATAGAAGTGGCCCAAGTCCATTAAAATTGGTAGACTTCCTATGGTTCATAGATCAGGCCCTAAGAGTATAAAGCAACATTCTCAATGCAGCAGTGCATTTTTCCTTTTTTTTTTTTTTTAAGTATTTCAACAAGCAAATAAGTATTTTATGGAAACATATATCAGGTATAATAACAGTACAGAAAACTAGATTAATTAGCTTCAATGACTTCTGTAATTACGAGCAAAAAATCTGTAGACACAGAAGGAAAACAATGCCTGCCCTTTTTAATTGGTATTCTGCTATGTATAATCATTCTATTACTTCTACTGATGTCACATTCTTCATATTGTTGTGGTATCAAACAATCTTATGTACACTTCTAGAGAAAAAATACTTAGGGTGACTTACCATCTCGTGAAGTGGCAAAACAGTTAATGTTTAATAGTGATGCATAGAGCAACTGTTCCTTTTTTGTTTGTTTAATACATACTGAAGCTATCGTGGTTTGTTTCACAATACAAGCACTTTCAGAAAGTACATTAAAACCTATGGGTATAAATTAGAACATAAATTGAGGGTTCTCCCTTTTTATGAGGTAACAACGGTATCCTGTGGAGGTGTTTATTAGACCAAGTTAAGTGGAACCAAGATCAAGTTTTTCTTTCAATGAAAAAATGTCAAATAAGAAGAGCTGAATTCCACATACACAAAAAAAAAAAAAAAACAAAAAAAAACCCAAAAAACCAAAAAAAACCAAAACATGACATAGATTAAACAACTGAAAAACACTTCTAGAAGTACATGCACCAAACTGAATGAAGTGGGATTAAAAGCATTAGACAATTCTAACAAACACCGCAGTTGGTGGCAAACGAGACTCTAGTTTTAGCATAGCTGCCAATGTTAGCATCTACAATCAATAGATTGGAAAATACATATGAGTGCTAGAGGTCTTTTCATTAATTTTGCTACAGAAAGCAACATGGACCAGAGATTTTGTCTATGAAGAAATGGGGTGATAAAGTAAAACGACAACTGCACGTAAGGCCATAAAAACCAAATGAAAATTTGCACTTTGTGCATGAATTGACTCCTCATTAATATCATACTCTAATTATCTATTCTCAAAACATAATCGTTTTAAGCTCTGTGGAGAATAAAGAATGGTATTTTAACTCTGAACTTAGCTGTAAATCACACTATGCAATCATCTTCTTAAATAGAAGACACATAATATCACACATTACCAGGTAAAACAAAACAAAAAACACAATGGAACAAAGGTCCATTAGTTATTATCCTACACCAGCTCTGCCCAAGACTATCTACAAGGAAGGATGGTCATTATTGAAGTCCTCTGCCAGGTGTTTTGCTCTGTCTCCCTGTCCTTATTTGCCCCCAATAGGTTGCAGGTCCTCTTAGTTTTCCCCCCAAATTGTCATTCACCATTGTTTGTTTTTTCCCATAGTTGTTTTCCTCTTTACTTTCTTCTCAGAAGGAAACTTTGTTTATATAATAGACAGACTAGAAACCAACCTCAAGGCAAAAATCAGGAGCAGCTGCCTCATACAGATACCACAGAAACATCTAAGAACAAAGCGAGCACACAGGAACTACTTCCTGAGAACATTCCTCCAGCATATATCCAATGTATACATAATACGTACATGAGATGTTTGTAGTTTGGTCCATAGACTGATAACTTCACATTGCAGAACAATATTAGAACCTACTTCCAACAATAGGTTAGGAAACCTATTGTTCTGTGCATTGTAGACTGAACTGTCATTTGACTTACTAAAAAAAAAAAAATCAAGAACATATACTAGTGAACAAGTAAAATGAACAGAGATGTAAGTTATAGATAGCAGCATTAAGGTATTTAAAAACACCTTCACTGGAAATTGTGCCATAACAAAAACAGGAAAATGTTGGTTTTTTTTAAAGAAGCACTATTGATTGTTTCTAAAGAAGCAGTAGTAATGGTTATTTTCTTTTGAATCTATTTCTAAAGAAAAAGCCATAATTATCATATTTGGAATGATAGGGAAAAATTACCTTTTCTATGTTTCAAGAAAATTATATCCTTATGGGCATTTAAAGTGGATATCAGATTGAAAGAACACCATCTTTCCTCCCAAACATGCACATCTCCTACTACATTCTTCGACAGAGCTAAAGAAAATAAAGTATCTTTAAATAACACTCCTTGTTAAAAGAATTTCACATATTATTTTTTGGTGTCAGTGTGAGGAATAGAATCTGTAATCTGGCTTACGTTCACTGCATTTCCTTTTACTGTGAAGTAATTAATAAGTTTCAAACACTTATATTTAGGCCATAGTATTAGAAACAGCTGTTCTTAGGAATGCTTCTGGTTCCAAACAAAACTCACCAAAATTCATAGAAGATCAAGAGAGGGTTCTTCAAGCATTTTCAATCAGAAACCTAAATGACTGATCCTACTTACATACCCATGCTATTTGCTCTTCACTGAGGTTCTAGATTTTGTACTCTTCCAATAAACCATAAAGTTTCTAGCTAAGATGCTGAAAAAGACTCAAAATGTGATCCTAAAGCTTTCAAGAAAGCAAGCAAGAGAACAGAACCTAAAATCTATAAAAATAAGAAATTCAGCTCTTAATCCATCATTTTCAGATGGAAACTTCAGGACTAGGACACCAGTAGCCCGTAGGTAGCTCATGAATGCAACTAAATCACAATCAACGGGAGTACTTCTACTTCTTTGTCACCTGCATGGTCAATTCTCTTCATAAGCACTAGTCTTTTTTTGGTGTTTACAGGAGAGCATACCTATATTTGAAGTTATAACAATTACTACTAACACCCAGCACAGAAACTATGACTTGCAGTATACTTACTAATATTTAAATGGTATTTAATAATTTTGCTTGCCTAAGTTTGAGTCTTAACAAAGTTTTTCAGGAAATCCAAGCACACATTTGGATGGTTTACTCCTAAAATCCAGCAGGAGCCTTTACGTTGGGCATGTAAAAGGCTGCAGGCCTATCTGCATCCACAGCTCTACTACTAGTAGAGTAGTAGCTGTACTACCACGGGTATGATTTCCCCTTTAAGCAGCAAGAAACACTAATTTCAGCGTGACTTGTGAAAAGGGCCTTGAAAAGTTCACTTTTACGCCGTTTTACAGCAGGACCCGCAGCCGGCGCCTCAGCGCTGGCGCTCCTGCACAGCAGCGAGACCCAGCACCTCGGTCCCCTCTGCCCGCCGCGGGCCGGGGCCGCCCCATCAGCTCCGTCCGCCCTCGCAAGCACCATGGCGGCTCGCAGAAGCGATTTGCGGGGCACCAAACAGGTCCCATCCCCAGGCGTGAGGCTGCCAGCGCCCTGCCCCACCAGAAACGCTGAGGGCGGCCGAACCGGCGGAGAGCAGCGCACTGGCGGCCTCCGCAGCGGCTGCGCAGAGCCGGGCGGCTCGGCATGGCGGCTCGGCACGGCCGCTCGCACCGCCCCCCTCGCACCGCCCTGCACGGGACGCGGGGCGGAGCTGCGGGGAGCGCGGCCGCGGCGGCTCGCGGCTGCCTCTGCGCCCGCCTGGTAGCGAAGGGTGTCCCGGGCTTGCCGCGTTTCTCCGCCCAGCCAGCCTCGGCCTTCTGCCTCTCGCCGCCCGGCGCGTCCCGCGCCTTTCCTGCCGCCTCCGCGCAGCCCTGGCGGTGCTAGGCATGAAGCTGAGCAAAGCCCAGTACGATGAGATAGCCCAGTTCCTGGGGCACGTGCAGCCCACCCGGCAGAGCCTGAGGAAGCTGAAGGAGAAGTTTCCTAGGTAAGTGTATCCCGCCCTCCGGCGCGGGGCCTCGGCCCGCGGCCGGGCCTGGGGCCGCGGGGGCCTCTGCGCCAGCTCCACCCGGTGCCCCAGTTCAGGCCCCACACGGTACAAAATCACCAGCACACGCACACAGTGTTCGACGGCAAGCGGCTGCTCCGCTGGGAGCAGGGTACTGCTCTACCCTCCGTGACCTGAGGAGCTGGCACAAAATAAAGAACGCTTCCCCCGACGCCCGTCCAAGTGAAAGCTCCTGGGGCCCTTCACGAGCCTCTTAAACACCAAGTAGATCTGATGTGAATAAAGCTGTACAGCTAAGGCCGAACCTCAGTGGCTGAGGCCAAGTGTGAAATCCATCCTGCAATACCGTTGCCCCTGTTTCATAGAGAGAAGGGACTTCCTGGATTCATAATTCTCTCCTTGCTGCTGCATTCCAGTTGAAACTGGAAAAGGGATCATCTTTTTACCTATGGCCATTCATGTACTTCCTTGCCTGAGCTGTATACAGAATTCTCAAAGACATTTGCAAATGACTATGGGCTAGGATGGAAAGGTACCCATGACAGGATGTGCTCCATGCACCAATCTTCAATGCTGAAATTTATTTATTACCAACTAGAACAGAGTTTTAAGCAAAGTTGCAAGGTTTATCACTTTCTTTTCAGATTTGAGGGAAGGGTTGCTATTGCGGAATTGGACAGGAAAGCAAACTTGGTTCTATGGGAAAAAGAGTGGTGCTATTTCTAAAATCACCAGAAATAATACAGAAAAATGTAGGTTACATACTGTATCTGCTTTGGTGAGAGAGAGAAATTAGCAAAACAGAAAATCATTCACGTACTTCCTGTATGAACCTTGCTAGTCTTAACCACAAGTGTGGCGGAAGAAACTGATGCTGTGTGTAACTTACAGTTAGTGGATGAAAAGCCAACATTAACTTAGGCTTTTAAACTGTCCAATGAAATTCTTTCCTTTTCACCTTGCTCTGTACTCTGCAACTTGGAAAAGCACTTACCATAACAACATGTGTCTAAGGAGCTTAGACTTGGCTTTATCATTTCAGTTCTAATGAAATCAGGAGAGAGTGTGTGTATTTGTGTGTGCTTGCAAACATGCACATGTGCTCTTTTTCTACTCTCCTTATGAAGTTGTCTGGAAAGAAGGTTAGAATTTGGGTTGGTTTCCCAGGTCAGTCACTATTTTTAGGAACCTGCTTCCAGGACAGATCCATAAGGCGCATGAGTGGTTTTAATCAGGTTTATCCAAAAAAGACTGGGCTTTTCTATACCTTTTACTTTGCAGTCCACTCAGTGCTGCAATAGATCCACTGACTCCTCCGTTTCAGAACTTGATGACTCCTGAACAACTATGTGCAAGTAATAGTATAGGGTTAATTAGGAAAAGAATTCTGTTTTTTTTCTAAAGGAGCTGGCTCAAGTGTGGTGAACACTGAAAAGCAAAGGTTAGCTGTAGTAGCTGCTTCCATATTTAAGTGACTATACTCTTCTCTTGTTATTCACATTATGGCATGGGAATGGCCTGTTCTGAATTTTGCTTGTAGTTCTCTCCTGAATTTTGTTTGCCCATGCTACGAGAAGGCCAAAATCTTCTGTATGAGCGATGAATTGATAGGGTTTTTTTAAATGCCTGTCTTAAGTATATTTTGAGGAGGTCTGCACATCTTCTTTCTGGGAATGTGATATTTCTTTGTTTGTCTTTTTGTTTATTTCTCATAACAGGTCAGATGCACAAGATAAACAATACGTTCCAAGGCCACTGCTTTCCTTAGCAGTAAGGAAAGTGTATTGAAGTAGATACATGTTAGGATGTGGAAAACAGGCATTCTCGATAACCCTTACCTTGTAAAAGAGGCCAGCTGCAGAGATTTGTAAACTTGTATGCCATTTTAAAGGAGAGGCTTTTTCAGTGATGTGTTTGATAACTATGGAGTAAGTAAGTTTTCCTTATAATCTAGAAATTTTGTCATTCTCTCTAGGCCAGAAAGTCTGACTCGACTTACTGGCTGGATTTTTTTTTCCTTATGAAAGCCTGAATCAACTGAAGCCCCCCGCCCCCCCCCTCAACTTCCTAATTCAGTCTTTTTAAAAAAATATTCCAGAATCTGTCATGGTACCTGCAGTGTGATGGAAGCGTCCATAGCCGGTTTCTCATTATTATATGGTAACAGTTGCTGATTCAAACTGGAAAGTACTAACATCCATAATAGCTGCTTTCACCTTCCACTTTCAATCTTTCCCCGGGAAGGATTGGCATTCCACTGGTAATGCAATACATAAATTGACAATTTTCAAATATTTCTGGTTCCTACTGCCTCATAGATCTTGAGAGTCTTTGGATTTCTGCATTAATCTGCTCAGTTTTTTTTCTAATGCTGTCTTATCTCTTGTTCCTCCCTCAGCTGTTTTATTTCCTGAAGCCTCACATTTTATGCTCCTAATTTGTATAAAATCTCTTTCGTGCTTTGTGAAAAGGCCTACTCTTGTTCTGCAGTTTCTCCCTAAGAATAAGTTGTAATTTCTGTAAACAATTGCCACAATTTAATGCACAGGTATGCTGGGTGGTAGCTGCCAACCTGACCTGTGAATCTAAATAATTTTTCAACAGGGTAGTTTGTGCTTTACTATTATTGAACTACTTCAGGAGATGAGATTATTACATCAAACAAGTATTGTCATGTGACTTATTAATGTCAAAAAGTCAAAATTAAATTACTTCTCATACTATTTATAAGTATTTTAATACAAGCATTGGGAATTCTTATATTTTACAACACTGTAACTTTCCATACAACGCGGATTTAGTCTACTTTGCTTAAAATCCAGTTATTTTGCAAAAACTTGGGAAATTGCTGTTCCTTTTCTGTTAATGCTGTGCTTTGTATTTCATGCCTGGCAACTACGAATGTATTATTCATTTCTTTATTCTTAAGGTATTTGTTACATCCTTAGCAGTTGTCTCCTAACATGTTCCCATTTAACACCAGGGTATTTGGATGACCTGAGGATTATCAAAATGTGATTTTGAACACTAAGCACAATAAATCTCTGCCAATATTGGATCACTGATCCGTAGTTCCTTTGATGTTTTTCACGCATATGCCACTGGACTGATAATTCTGTATATTCAGTGTTGTGCTTTTCTGTTGAACTGTAGCACCTTTTCTGCTTAGTTTCTCACCTGAATTTTTCTATTTGCTAATTATCTGTGGTTTTCTTTGTTACTTCTGTATTATGTTCTTCAGCTTTCCCTTCAGCTATGGGCTCAAGTTCTTCTGAGATACTATTTTTCTTGATGAGAGCTAATGTCTAAATTGAATAAGCCATTGTAGAACAGGCTTTAGCCCACTGCAGGAAATGTTCTGAGATAGTTAAAATCTTTCTTTTGAGTGCATGTATCTCTCTTATATGGTGGTTAGAGCTGCCTACAAGTAGAATCTTCTAGCTACAAATCACTTTAGTGCTACCTATTTATAGTGACAAGATATAGGTTAGACCTTTAAAATTCTATCTTTTTTTCAAACACTGTTTTAACTTGCCCTGAAAAATCCGAGTTCTGAGAGTTAAATTCATACCCAAACTGATATTCTAGCACTTCAGTTTAACTGCTTACTGTTTTAGTTGTTTCAATTCTTCTGTGTATAGCAGAATACATTGTTTCTTTCAGAAACTTTTTCTAAAGCTTCTTATCAGTAGAACATAATTGACTTTTGAGTAGACCCTTCTCAAACATATACCTTGTACATATTTTCCTATTCTTCTTTGTATCCAGTTCTGACTGAATATTATAGTTTTCTTGACCAAATCTTTGCTTTGGTTTAAGACAGTTTAAAGGGGAACACTCTTAAATAGAGTTCTTTTTTTACCACCAATCCCTTTCTGCCAATAAGGAGAAACAAAATATGAGTAGAAATAAGTGACAAAAATAACAGTTTATTAACAAGTGAAACTTCAAAAGGAAAAATAACAGTAAATAACCACTAGATAGAAAATTGCTATATCTTATCAACTCCCCCAGAACAAAGAGAGACCCAAAGTGTCGGAAATACCCTTTCCAAGATGGCCAAGGGTGACCGCTGTAGGGAAAGAAAGGAAAATGGCATCAGACCCTACCCCCGAGATGGTGCCTTTGAAGGCAATTGTACGGTCTGGGAGGCAAAGAGGAGGGATGGCAGCAAACCCTGGGGGAGGCAGGAGCTTTCAGAGTGGTTCTACCGGCAGATGAGAAGTGCTGGTGCGTGTGGGGTCAGCACTGCTGCCTGCCAGACTCTGTTGATATTGGTGCTGATGTCTCCAAACTGTGGGTGTGTTGTGGGGGGAATGCTGGTCTGTCAGTGCTGACACGAGGTGACCGGGTCCCAGCAACCAATCAGCAACACCTTTGCGAAGTTCGCTCCAAAACACTTTTTGACTCTGAAATGCAGTTTTTCCAAGTGGCTACTATTGCAAGCCCAGGAAAAAAACACAAAAAAGCCCACCCAAAGAAACCCCTCCAAAGCAGAGCCTCCACTTTCAGCAAGTCCTGCCAGCAGAGTTTGTTCTCCACTTCCCAGCTCCAACTTAAAAAGGGGCTGTGGCAATGCCCCCTCTGCCTTGTGGTTCCAGTTCTGGATATGTTGGATCTTAAAAGAGGCCGTAACAATTTTTGGGCATGTATAGGTATGGATAGTAACATTTTGGGTTACCCATGACAGTCTTCCTCTGGTCTCTACCAAGCTTTCTAAGGATGTAAGCTTTGGTGATCCAATTCAGTATGATCCTGTCTTGAGTTTTGTTCTGGCTTGGTTCTGTTCTGAGTGTTTGAGTTTCTTATACCAGGCTGTGCTTGAATTGGAGATTCCAGAAACTTAAGTTTCAAGTAGTCTCAGTAGCCTTGAGCATTTTTTAATGATTCCAAAACCCATGCTTTTCAAGTTACTTCGCTACACTGTTGTGAAAAGTGTTTCAGTCCATTGAGGGGTGCTATATTCTATAGCACAATTT